CTTTGTCCGTTCGTACCAAAGACATCTGCACTCGCCTTAAAGGGGCGTTTTGATTTTTGAGCGTTGACACGGTGACCGTTGCTTGTCCACGTTTCTCCGTTCTCTTTTGTTTTGCTTCTTTGGTTGTGTTGTGTTAGTGCCGTTTTGTTTTATTTTTTCCCTTTTTTTCCGCTGTTGCAGGGGCCCTGGCTACTTGGTCCCTGTGCGTGAGGCGTGGAGCAGGCGATACTCGGAGACATACTCCCTCTTTGCGTCTTCGGAGCTCATCCCCTTGTGTTGGTTCCACGCCTCCCACTTGGCGCGGCCAACAGTGTCCATCAGCCATGGCTTTGACACGTTAATGTCTCCAACAGTTGCCTGTTTGTAGAGCCCGTAGAACTTGAGCTTTGTGTCGTTGCTCGTCTCGGCGGCAAACAGCGAGAATGCGAGTTGAGCAGCCTCAAAGTCGGCCTCCACATTGGGAGCAAGACCGCCTTCTGCTTGGGCACATCCATCAGTAGTTGCAGCCTCTGGGTACAGCACCGCGCCGACGGCAGGCAGCGGTGGTGCACCGTACTGCAGGCGCAGCGGCAGGGCATTGCACACACGCTCCAGGGCGTTAATCTCGTGCTCCTCCGCCACGAGAGTGGTGGAGGTTGTTGCTGTTGTTGTGCTCGTTGCTGTCGCACCAATTTCTTCAGGGGAGCGCGACGCGGCCCGCCGCGGCTGCGCAGTCAGCTGCCGGCTACTACGCAAGCTGACAAAAAACTTCCCCCACATGTTGAGCCACTCTTGCAGAAAGTGCTGCACCTTCGCACACTCGCCATCATTGGCAAAGGCACCAGGCGTGGCCCACAGCTTCTCTGCGCCCAACAGCACTGTCTCTACGATCGCGAAAAATAACATCTCCACCCTTGACTTGAATTTCTTCGCGGGCGTGAGTGGGGTCTCGGCGAGCCACAGCTCCTCGAAGCGCTCGGCATCGTTGGCCGGCTGCAACAGCACGTACTGACGCAGCGGCGAGAACACACCCGGGACATCCACGAGCAGGGTCTCCACCTTCTGCGTCAACAGCCGCAGCAGTCTTGTCTTGGGAAACGCCGACACCACCGCCCCCGCGACCATCGCCGCAATGAATGTGGCAGGCATGTTGGCACAGCACAGCGCATGATCGTCTCCCTCAACGATGTCGATGAACCTTTCGAGCATGCAGTCACCCGAGATGAGCCGGGAGAGGACAAAGAGGTGTCCGCTCCATAACGAGGCCGGCGGTGTCATGTAGCCCGTCTTTCTAAAATTCAACAGCGACACGCGGAAGTCGCTTAGAACGTTCGCCTCACGGTTCTGCCGCGCCGATCCGGGTGGCTGCCGCTCCAGTGACATTGCCTCACGATAATTCGTCCACGTCACCAGGAAGGCAAGTTTCTGGTGCTCCTGCGCCGCACATGACAAGAAAAATGGCGCCTGTGTCAAGTAGTGATGGTGGTAGTAGGAGTGCGGCAGCTGCTGCTGCTGCGGCGTGTGGCCGCCGCGTGAATGAGGGCCAGCGTGCGGCGTGTCCCACGGCGTGGTGTTTACCGAGCTACCTTGCGAACTAGCTGCGCGGGTCACCATGCGCTTTCCGTGAACAACAGGCAACAGCAGCCCACTAAACATTTTCAGGATCTCGCAGAGGGTGGTAAGATTACCACCGCATACTTCATATAAAACATCGTACTTCAATATCAGACCGGGGAATCGGGTATAATACTCTGTCAGGGCGTCGCAATGTGCAACAACAATACGCGTCGCAAAGCCTGGTGAGGGGTGGCAGCCTTCCGTATTACCAGCGTCAGTGCACTGGTTAGCCTTCTCGTACAGCAAGCACTCCAGGAAGGACTTCAGCATCCCTGTCACGCACTCAATGCTGTCTGGCATATCCTCCGCGCCTACCGGTGGCGACATGCGGCCACTTGCTGTCGGTGCATTCTCGTCAAAGTTTGCGTCACCACCTTCAATAAGGGCGATGGTGCCGCCCAGCTCTGGCCGCACTTGGCACTCCATGAATTTTTGCTGCTGCTGCTGCTGCTGGTACCCGGCATTCTTCACTGGGGCACCAGCCTCCATCGTGATACCTGGCTCGCTATCAGTGTCCCTCTCTGGTAGAGGCGTCCTGCTGTTGCTTTCGCTCAAAAGGTTTTCCAGCACAGTGGTTGCGTGTTGCTGATGGAATACCAGCAGCGCCTCAACGGCATCTGCGTGTTGGGCAACCATTGCCAGATGAAACGGCGACCACTCATCCGGCAACGCCTCCATCTCGTCCTCAACACTTGCGGGCTCGGCGTCGGGGTCCTCTAGCAGACTGATGTACACGATCAGCGGTTGATAGACCTGCCTCGCCACGTCGTTGACATCGTCATCCCCGCGTATAGTGCGGCAGAGGGCATCCAAGTAGGCCGCCACCTCCACCGCCTCTCCCTCAGAGTCCTGCAGGAGGAACGTCACGGGCTCCCCGTTGTGTCGCGCGTGATGCCACATGTCTTTGATATCACGGACCACCGGTACAAACTCCTGCAGACTTGTTTTTATTTTCTTCTTCTGCCTTAGTGGGGCTCTGCTTTTCTCTTGCTATCTCCTTAATCACCCTCCGCAGTCTATAAACTCTATTTGCCTATGAAAGCAAGTATGCGACTGGATAAGGTTTCGCCGAGCGTTGTGTGTGTGTGTGTGTGTCTCTCTCTCTCTCTCTCTCCCTGTCTGTCTCTATTTGACTCGTTTCCCCTTCTTATTCACTTTCTACTGCGTATGTGGTGCAGGCACTGCCTTTCAGATGGTAAACGGCGAGAACTGACGGGGCACTGGCACCGCGAGCCAAATTCTCGTCTTCTCTTTTCCTTCGGCCCCCCACCACAGAGAAAGAGAGAGAGAGAGAGAGGCGAAAGCAACAGCCATGGAGCAGCGGCGACAAGAAGGGAAAAAGTAAACATGAGGGCCATATCAATAGAGTCCCTTACGCGCTGTCCCCGCACACACCCCGCCTTCGCTCCAGCCTAGAAGGAGACAGCCGCATACATTTACATAACACCGCATGCAAAGCAGGGAAAATAATGTGGAAAGCAGACAGCCTCTTCTCTCCCCCTCGCTGTCCCTCTCTCTAACCGTTTCGGCGTCCGCGTCTCTCTCTCTGTGTGTGTGTGTGTGTGTGTATAAATATAAATGTAAATATTACATCATACGCCTCACATGAACGCCAACCAGCAACCGCAATCATCATCACTATTTATTTCTTCGACCTGATGTAATTCTCTACCTGTGTATTCTTCTGTGTGGCATGCACAGCAAACTTTAGACGTGCTCCGCCACAAACCCCGCCACGCGGGCAAACCACTCGTGAATCCCTGGGTGAAAGAGCGAAACACCACCGGCACCAGTCTCAATCACTGACTGGAGGAAACGCACCACTTCCACTGACACAGCACAGCGGGGCAGGAGGGACTGAACACTACGCTCCATCAGTTCGTCGTCTGTCACGGCGCGAGGCACAACCGCCCGAACAAGCAGCTCTATAAATCCAATGACCAATTTGGACTTCGCCTCATCCACCGCTGGCACTTCAGCAGCAGCAGCAGCGCCATCCGCTGCAGTGAAGTCGGCCGCACCTGTCACTAAATCCATCCCGCCAGTAGTAGTACTCTGCCGCAGAGTGGGGGAGGAGTTGGTGGTCGCATTCAGCGGGTTGTTGAACATGAACTCCACCGAGGCGGGGGCGCGCGAAAACTTCTTGCTGCTGCTGGCCGGAGCCAACTTGGTGTTCAGGACTGCCAGCGCCTCAGTGAGCTGCTGCGACAGCGCGACACCAACCGGGACTTCACTCTCTCCCCCGGCGGCATCTCCTGTTCCTGCTCGTGTTGTTAATGTCACCAATGTTGACGAGCCCCGCATAAGCTGCAGCGTCTGCGTGGCCTGCGCCTGCAGCGTCTGCACCTCATCAAGGGGAAGCTCAAACACCACGCATTGCGTCCCACCCCACGGATGGGCAGTGGATGTCGGGTCGGTATCAGTCTTGGCTTCGGAAGCCGCAGTATTTTTTCCAGACGTGCGATGGGATTTTTTGCCCTGGCTCTGAGGCACCTTTTCGTTGTGTGTCGGCGGCTGCACCACACTTGGGTCGTAAACCGGCGACACAAACAAGACGCATGTCAGCATCCCTGGGGTGGGAAAAGCGGAGATGGACGTGACCGCCGACGGCACGCCACTTTTACGTCTCATTGTAGCAGTTGTCAAAGAGCTGCTCGGCCCCTTGTTGCGCGACACATTGGCATCGCGCACAAAGGACTGACAGATCACCGTATTTGCCTTGGGCACGCCAAGCTGCGTAAGTGTGTTGGAGGAAAACAAATGAGGTAGCCCATCTATAACAATGGGGGGTAGCAGCGACACCGTCGCCCCCGCGATTTCTGTTGGTGCAACGGCGCCCCGCCCCCCACGAGTGCTTTCCCCAAGCCGTCCCTGTCCCTGTCCCTGTCCGTGTTGTTGTTGCTGCTGCTGCTGCTTAATGTGCGTCTCCCTCGTAGCCTCATCGTACCAGAGATAGCAGCAGCTTAGGGGGGCCGTTTTCACCTGCAGATACGCGCGAAGGTGGCGTAACGCCGTCTCGAGGTCCAACGACTCCAGCGGTGGAAACACGCACTGAAGAGCACTTTCCCTGTGCAGGGCGGCAAACGCGGCGACGACGACGGACAAAGGCACCATATTCTTCGGCTGCGCCTTCTCTCGCTCTTCACGATTGCGGGATGGCGTGCGTCGTGAATCGGGCGTCACGCTGCCGGGAACAGGCGTGGCGGTGTTACTGGCATCCGTGCCGCCCTTCTTTCTGGCGTGGCCCAAGTCGCGCTGCGTGGACTGAATGACGGCAATGATGCTCTCAGAAAAGCTCATGTCCACACCCAGGTTGATGGCCTCCTCGCCATAGAGGGAGAAGACGCTTGTCCCGCTAAAGACATGGAACCGCATGTCCTCCACAAGCTTCGCCAGTACGGCGCAGGTCGCGGCCATCACGTAGAACGACCTTCCCGCACGCAACAGCAGCACCGCAAGATACAGCAGGGCAAGTCGCAGAGTGTTGTAGTCGTGCGTACCGCTGGCCACAGTATGCTGCACAACGTCCAACAGTAAACGCACCGGCTGCTGTCGTGGCGAGTCGAGTGCGGCCAGCACGTCCTCTTCGCACGGCTCTGGTGCCTGTACAGCATCACTCACATCCATTGCTGCTGCTTTCTGCTGCTCAACGAGCAGCGCGGGGGTGAGGAGACACAGCACGCGCGCCAGCATGAAGCGACTGTCAATGAGCAGCGTGGGATGCGCTGCAGTGTCGTACTGCGGCGCTAGTCCCGAAATGGCCTGCTGCAGCACCTTCTCCGCGAGCTCCAGCTTGCCCGCAGCCATATATTCTTCCGCAAGAATGTTCAGTGCGCGATGAAGAAACACAGCGTCAATGCTCCACGCCACGAGGGGGCGCGGCTTCTGCTCCGCACGAAAGAGCGTCGCGTTGTCGGGGCGCAACCCGTGCATCTTGCAATACGCCCGCAACGCAGACACCGCCTCCTCCATGCGCTCAGCCGCCGACGAGGTGCCCTCCTGCTCCTGCTGCATGTTGCCGCCCTGCAACTGGCGCCGCAGCATCTCAGTTGCCACCACGGTCCATGCATGCAGCATATCGACGCGGCTGTCGCAGCGCAGCGACTGCCGAACACGCTGCAGGGCCTGAAGCGTCTCTGCAACTTTGGGCATGGCCCCCGCGCGCACAGCAAGGGCGGCGTTGTACAGCGAAAACACCCGGCCGCTGTACGCATCCCCGCACTGGTCGCACAGTGCAAGTGCGTCATTCACCACTTCCTGTGCCGCTCCGTACTCCTGAAGTCGTACGTGATTCAGCGTCATTAGCGCATACACATCGCACCAGAAGGTGTGCGTCGTCACAGTCCACAGGTATGACGGAACGTTGGGAATGCTGCAGCTGAACGCACCGGGTCCGGTGCGTTCATTGAAGTTCGTCATAAGTGACTGAAGGGCCGCCAGCGCCTTGGTACACTCTCCACGAGCGGTGAATATCTTGGCGAGCAGCAGCTCTGCGGTGGAGCACACGTACGTCTCTTCTAACTCACGATTCCGTTTCGCTTGCACATCCTCCGGTGAGGACGCTGGGGACACACTCTTCTCCCGCGCCAGGTTCTTCTTGCTGCCACTGCTGCTGCTGATGCTGTTGTTGACGGTGGTGGCGGCGGCATCAGTTGTGGTCAAAGAAGGCCGCGCCTGCACCCGCAGAAGCAGCGATTGCAAAATCATCTCCGCCAAATTCAGCGCCTCGAGGGAGGCAGAGGCAGAGAAGCTGTGCAGTGGCATGCGCTGAAAACTGCGCGAACGGACACCACGCCGTTCACCTGGCACCGCTTGCGGATGCATCGCAAACGCGCACCACACATACGCCGCCTCCTTCGACCCAAGCGCGACGAGCGATTCCACCACAGCGAGCTCCACTCGCAGTGAGAGGCGTGACCCGTACGCAGCGGCCACCGCCTCGTGTAGGCCGCTGATCGCAGTGGTGGACGTCGAAGACGACGGCGCCGCGGATGCAGCTGCATCTCCTCCCGTGGCCCCGCAGAGACACTGAGACACGAAGGCCTGCACGGACGCCACATTGCCTGCGCTCACTGGAAGTTCACTGTCGTCGTACAGAGTGTCAATGGCATGCTGCTGCTGCTGCTGTTGTAGTTGTGTCTGTTGTGCGTCCCCTCCCTGGCCGTCTATCTGGCGGGAGGATGAGGCCAGCCCGCCCTCGCCGCGTTTTCCGCCTTTTCCCATCTTAACGGCCTCACCGCACTCCACCGCCGCACGCAGACGCAGCGTTGTGCTGTCGAGCGCCCCTGACGGAATGCGAACGCCGTAGCAGACATCGTGCAGTATCTTCATCGCTGCCCTGTGGCTCCCAAATTGCGACGCCGCACTTGCCTGCACGAGTCGTGCCTCAACAGTGAAAGCAATGTGGCGCGTGTGTTTGCGCGCTAGGTACTCCGTCAGTGAGGCGACCATCGCGGCATACAAGGGAAACTTGAACTTGAGCAGCTCCCACGCGAGAAACAGCATGTGATGCACTATCTGCGGCATCAGCGTCTGCAGCGAATCGCTGAGGTGTGGCAGCACAATGAGATCCTCCAGCACAAAGCCACTGAAGTCGCGCAGGTTTTTCGGGAAGTTGTTGGTGGTGCCCTGCATGAAGAAGCGCTCCAGCAGACCCGCAGCTAGCAGGTAGGCGTCGACGGCCCGTCCTTGCTGCTCACGGCACGTGTACATGGCAAGCGAGCTCAGCGACAGCACCGCTAGTAGCAGGCGCGGAAGGCCAATCGCGTCAACAGCGAAGTCCGCCCACGCGTCGGGCGGCCGCTCCAGACTCTCCGGTACCTCTAGCGCCGCATCAACTGCCTCCAACCAGAAGCGCTCCGCCTCCGCACGCTGACGGTGAAGCAGGTGGATGCGGCCGAGCTCGTACAACTGCTCTGCAAGCGGGCCGAAGAGACGCCGCTGTCGCAGGTCTGTCGCGGCGGCCTCGAAGCAGGCAGTAACGTCACGCAGTGTTACGCGTGGAACGTCACCACCACGCCCTGTCAGACGCGCCAAGTTTGACGCGCAGCTCGCAACCGAAGAACGGTCCAACTCAACAAACGAGCCGCTCTTTCCCCCTCCTCCGCCTCCCACTGCAGCTACAGCTGCTGCTGCTGCCGAGGTGACGTCCGCAACGACACGCTTCGATGGCATCAGTGTCCGTGCAAGTCGCTGCATGGCGCGCCGGTAGGCATCCGTTGTTGTGTACTGCTCCCACACGCGCCGTGCATTTCCCACGAGGACCTTGTGCATCGGCTCGTCGCGGCGCAGCTGTGCGTACTCCTCCACTAGTTCGCTGCTCCGCGGCGCGCCAATGGTGCGCTGCAGGCTCAGCGTGAAGGGCAGCAGTGCGGCGGCAAAGAGCCCACCAGTAAGCTTGTGCACCGCCACAGCAAGCTCAAGTGACGCGAGCTGGCAGTTGAACTGCATGTACTGCAGAAGGAAGACAAAGTTATCTATGATCTTCTCCGCCGGCAGTGCGGGACCCAGCCGCCGCGCCACCATCACAGGCGCGTCAGCGTTGTCAATGCGAATGGGGTCCGGCCCGCATGTTGCCTTGTTTGTGGCGTCCTTCGCGACTTTTTTCGCCTTCGCCGGCCCTGACGACTGATGCAGCCGCCGCTGCGCCTTCTCCTCCTCCTGCTGAGCCACAGTAACCGCCTGCTCCGTTGCCGCAATGTGCGGCTCTAGTAACGGCAGCGCGGCGGCGTACTCGTCGAGCAGCGCATGTAGTGCCGTCAGCCATTGCAGCTGCACGTGGACGCGGCCACACTGCTCCACGGCGGCCACTTCACGCGTGCGCCAAACCAGCGACCGCGCGAGCCGCCTGCGCTCCACCTCTGCGAGGTGGATGAGGCGCGCCTCTTCGTACTGCCCCAGCGCCGAGGCGTAGGCATGCAGGGATGGCACACGGCCCTGGAAGTGCAGCTGCTCCTCCAGCAGCACGTTGCGCCCCACTTTCACGGCGGCAGGCTGCAGGAACTCCACATCGCGGCGGTTGTCGAAATAGCCTTGCCACAGCAGCAGCAGCGTCTCGTACAGCGCGCGCGCGAGCGGGAGTACACGCGGGCCCCACACGCACAGCTTGTCACTCACCGCAATCATCTGCGTCTGGTCCATGTTGCGGCACGAGGAGACGACGGAGTCCACCGACAACTGCCGACTCTCACCCAGCCGCTGCGTCGCGCCCTCGCTTGCATGGCCACCACCACCACCACCGCCGCCGCTGCTGCACTGCAGTATTTGCTCATCTGACAGCGTCATGTCGGGCGGCTCCTCGCACACAAACACACGCAGCCCGTCAACCGCCTGCGAGACCGCCGCAAATGCACGTGAGGGAAATCCGCAGCGGTTGAAAAGCACTGCCGCACGCGCAGCGTGCTGCGCCAAGCGCTCTTCGTCCTCCTTCTCCTCTGCCAGCTGCTCCTCCCTCGCAGCAGCGGCGGCAGCAGCTGCGTCCTCTCCACGCCCCCTGGATTTCGCCCCGTTCCGCGCAACAACGGGGCTTGCTGCCGCTCCTCCTCCTGCTGCTGCTGCTGCGCTCGTCAGTTCGCTCTCTTGCGCCTGCCGTCGACGACGATCCAGCGACATTTGCGCACACGTCGCGAGGTAAAGCTGCAACTTCGCCTCAAACGGCGCGGTGAATTGCATGATGCGGCCGCGGAGCCAGCGCAACGCACGCCGCCGACGAAGCCAAGCAAAGCTGCGAGTAAGCTGCCGCAGCATCTGCTGCTCCGCGGGGCTCCACTGCCTCCCACCGGTGCTGGCGAAGTCGTGCGGCTTCCCTTCCCCTCCTTCTGCTGCTGCTGCTTCCTTTGCTTCCGATCGTTTACTATGCCGCGCGCCCTTAACAGCGGGTTCCTCCACCACCGTCTTTCTGCTCTGTCGCACGGGGCCCACCAGAACGTACCCCTCCCGCTGCAGCCACGCCGTCATGTTTTCCATCACCGTGTCCTGGTACTCCTGCACCCCCGCATGAAGCTTCTGAATCGTCTGCAGCACCTCCGTCGCCACGCGCCGTGCCGTCGTCGTATCGCCCTGCTGCATGAGATACTCCACAATGCAGACCGCGACCTTGGCATAGAGAGGGTCATCGGCGACCTGCTGCAGCCGCTCAAATGCCGCCTGCGGCGACTTGGAGCTCAGTGCACGCGCCACATCGAGCATCCATGCGGGAACGCCCACCAGACCACCAGCAGACGTTGGTATTGCTTGCGCACGGTCGGGGGACTTATCACGCCGCGTGGTGTGCATCCGTGAGGCAGTGATGGCACCGCACGGCAGGAGGAAGAGAATGTCGGCCAGCAGCTCGAGGTACTCAATAGGGACGCAGTCATCGAGGATTGTGTCTGCCACAGCGTAAGCACCACCCGGAAACGCAGACGCCACACCGTCGCTCGCACGCACTGCTGCTGCTGCTGCCGCCGCCGCTGCGGCGGCCTTTGCTGCACGACCCGCCCTCGACGCCGACACGCGATTGGCGGGAGTGTTGCTGTTGGCACCACCAAGACCACCGCCAGAAGCAGCAGCGGCACCATCCGCGCCGTTCAGGTCGGTGCACAGCACGCGCTGCACCTCGCTCGCGCCCTGACGCACGCTTTGCCGGTAACGAAGCTGCCGCGGATTGGGGTTGTAGTACACATGCCCCCATACATGCAGAAAGACGCGCAACAGCAGGTCGTACCACCCCTGAATGGACGCCGGCATCACCGCCAGTGTGCTGGTGGCCCCGTCGGGTGCCCCTGCTGCATCCGCGCAGGTGACCTCCGCAAGAGGGCCGGCAGCGTCCATCTTCCACAGCGTCTTGAACAACGCATCGAGTGTGCGGACGGCCAGCCGCTGCACATGGGCGTTGCTCCATACACACGCCGGTTGCTGCAAAAACGCCCCGCAAAGTGTAGCAAACGGTTGCAGCAGAAGTGAGCAGTAATTCTCGTCAGAGATGGTTGGAAGCAGTGCGTTGAAGAGCTCAAAGGCGCATTGCAGGATCAGCTCATTGTCGTGCACACGGTCAGCGAGTTCCATGGCGAACTGAATGCGGTAGGCGCTCCGCATGTGCCACAACTGCGTGTGGGCGAGTCCGTACCGCTGCTGGAATGGCACCTCCAGCATCACACTCTTCTCAGTGAAGGGCATGAGACTGGCGTCGTCGAACTTATGGTATGGGTAGCGGCGCATCTCCACCGTTGACATCCACAGCAGCGCCGAGACAAGTGTACGCACCTGCAGCGCCGAAGACACAGACAATATCTCCTCGTTTGGGTGAACCGCAAGCGGAGAACTGCGAGAGGCTGTCGTCTCCGCATTATCAGTCCCCGCCGTGTCTGCAGCATCTGCGGGATTCTCATTCCGCGGCTTCCCATCCATGGTTTGCGCATCGCCGCCACCACCACCACCGTCGTTGCTGCTACTGTTGTTGCTTCTTTTACTCGCGAACGCTGCGTACAAGACATCCTTCGCACTCTCCGTCATATTCGTAAAGCCCAACTTGCCACACACCGTGATGGCATAGCACCAAATCATAAGGGCTGAGTAGGCGCTGTCCTGTTGCTGATGCTGCTTTGTGCAGGACAGCATTGACTGCCTCGGCCTACGGCGGTTCTCATAGCGTTGCAGCAAGTGGAACGTCTCCTCCATCATCTCGCGCTGCACCTTATGCTGTGCCTGGTGTGGCGCGAGACACACAAGCACGAGGGCCTGCAGCAGATCATCGCCCTCGTCGCGCGCCCACGCTAGGAGCCGCCGTATCTCGTCCGCGTTGCCACGTGGGGCCGCCGGTTCCGCCTGCAGAAGCGACTCCAGCACATTCGTCTCCTTCACGGTGGTGGCGCCATACACCTTGGTGTTTGCCTGCCGCTCTGTCAGCAGCTTCACATCCGCGCGGTGCTTCTCCAGCGTGGCGTAGTGCTGCCGGTGGATGGCATGGTGCCAACGCAGCTCCACCATCCACCGTGTCAGCTCTGTACGTGTGTCACGCAGTTCCTGTTCGCGGCGAACTCGGTCAAAGTCCTCCTGTGTCCCTATTCTTCCCGTTGTTGTTGTTGTTGCTGCTGCTGCGGTTGCTGAGGAGGATGATGCTGTTGTTGGTTGCCGTTCTAGCGTCGTTTCTTGCAACGCAGCGCCACTGAACGTCGGGCCTGCTTTGGCGCCGTCAATACCGCTCCGCTTTGACACATGGCTACGCTGCTGTACAAGGCAGCCAAGTGCCATCTGGATGGCGGAGAGGGCCATGCGGGCTCGATCGCACGTCCTGCGCAGCGCGTGCATCGTGTCGCCCTGCACACGTGACCGCTGCAGACTTCCAGCGTGGGTCTTGTTCGTTCCCTGGCCTGCCGCTGTTGCTACTGTTGCTGCTCCGGATAACGACCGTGTCGTCGCGTCCTTCCTGCTGCTAGAGCCCACACCATCACTGTTGCTTGTCGACACCTCCGCCTCGACATTCCGCGCATAGGCGAGAACGAGTTGGCCGATGCTGGCTGCATCCGTCAAACCACTGTTCGCCTTCGCCTCCAAGCATGCACACATAATGCTATGATACATATCCACCGAATCCTGATCCTGCTCACACTGTGTAATTCCACCAAATGTGGAGGATGTAGTCGAGGCTTCTGCCACTGCGGCTGGATAAGACTGCGCAGAGACTGGTGCAAACGCCAGCACGCGCTGGTGTAGAAAGTTGGCACTCTCCTCCATAAGTTTCTGGTAAACCGCAGCGAAACTGTTGGCAATCGACATGGTTGCTCCTAATCGTTGTTGCAGTGGCGGCGATATCTGTTGCTGATGATTCTTCTGCTGGTGTGTACCAGGCAGCACAGTTTCCTTCTTACTTTGCTGCTGTTGCTGTTGCTGCTGAGTTCCGCACGTGACAGACACCGCGGTGGGGCCGATGTACAGCTCCGCGAGTCGCTTCAGTTCTTGCGCGATGCCCGCGAGGTCACCGATGCGCACCGTCTCCTCCACGCCTGCACGACGCATCCGCTGCAGCAGGTGCACTGAGACGCAAACGGTTTCCAGAAGCCGCATGTACGAGGCCTTCTTTATTGTCTGTGACGCCACCTGCGCTGTCGGCGACGACGACGTCAATGGCACCTGCGCCGTGTTTTTCTTGCTGCTGGCGCCCTGCGTCAAGTTACCGCGTTTTCCCTCCTCCTCTTCGATGCGCCACTGCTGCAGACAGGCCACAGTGCAGGTGCAGAGGCGGCCGTACAGTCTCGGGTCCTGCCCAGCACACAGCACGCGGTGCAGCAACAGCAACAGCAGCAGGCCCTCCTCGCCCATCNCGCCCCCGTGGCGCGAGCCAATGCTGACGCTCGTCTCGCCGCCCTCCCAGGCGACGGGGACGGGCGCCTTGGCCGGCGCGAGGCCCAGCAGCAGCCCCTCCAGCCTGATGCTCCCCAGAAACGCCTCGTCCTCCGTCGCAGAGATGCTGAGCTGCACGGTAGGCTGCGAGCGGTTCGGCCGCCGCGACCCGACGCTCTTCTTGCGGCCACTCGCCACGTTCACGGAGGCCAATGCGCGCTTCTCCTGGAGCAACTGATAGTGGGACACTAGGTCCGCCTCGGCGAACTCCTCTGGCGGACCCTGCGCCGTGATGGTGGGGTTCGCCTCCACGTACGCGCACACAGCCTGCTGCACGAGGAACTCCAGCGCCTCAACGGCCCACGCACGGAGAAGCCCTATTGAGCAGGATGCTGATGCGCGAGCCGAGGGGCGGTACTGCTGCTGCTGCTGCTGCTGGTGAGACTGATGCCCAGCGCTACTTCTTGTTCCTGCAGTTGCGGCAGGAGGAGGCGACGGCGCTGTTGTGAAGGAAAGCAAGAAACGCAACAGCGCCCCCTGCACACGTTCCGCTACCATTTCCCTATTTACCGCATCTACTTGCTGTTGCTGCTGTTTCGCAGCGTCCTTCCCTTTGTTTTCACGCTTCGGNGTAGTGGTCGCAGGTGCGGCGGCCTTGTTCGGCTTGGGAAGCTCCACCTTGAGCAGCATCTGCCACGCACGGTCGATCATGTCAAGGCCGTTTCGCGGCATCCCGCCCATGGACGGCTCCTGCTGGCCCGGCGCCTGCGCGGCTGTCAGCGAGGGGGACTGCTTCAACTGTGGCACACCATCGCCCGCCCCTCCTCCACTTCCTCCGGTGGCGTTGCCCACCGTGCCGTTCGCGCACCACGTGTACCGCATCACGTTGAGCAGCACATGGTCCAATGCGCGCAGCATGACATCCTGGCAGACCGGTGACGGCGGCACAGGGTCAAGATGCTCAAGATCGACAAGCTCACGCACCTTCCGTGCGGCCCGCTGTGCCACCAGCAGCGCCTCCGCGTACATGCCGCGCTGCTCGTAGCACGTGGCGAGAAGGTCGTACAAGCGCAGACGCCATGGAAGGTACCGCACTGTCGCCAGCTTCAGTGTCGCGGTCTCGCACATCTCCAGACACAACGCCACATGCCGCACAATCTGCGGCAGCGTATCCTCCGCCCCATCGGCGGCGCGGCGCAGCATACCGAGGCACATCTCGTACACCGTCACGGTGCCATTGAAGAGAATGTCGTAGCTGCCGTCCGCGTCCACAGCGGCTACGGCCATTAGGCGCTCAGTCACTGTCTCCAGGTGCGCCGCTGCTGCGCGTCGCCCCACGCCGGGCCGCTCCTCCGTCCGCTCGCTCTCATGCAGCGCGGCGTGGAAGTGGCACGTGTGCCGCAGCACATCGTACAGTGCCACCACTCGCCAAGCTCGCTTCAGAATCTCCGTGCTTGCCTGCGCGGCAGGCACGGCGGCTCGTGGTGCCGTACGACGTTCGTCGCTGTCGAAATGCGGCAGCAGCAGCTGCGGCTCCACAGCAGTGTCGCGTCGCTGCTCCTCCACATGAGCGGCGGCCTCGCGCAGCGTCAGCTGCACGTCCCTCTCCAGAACCTCGAGGCACACCTCCGTCGCCTCGCTGTACAGACCCTTCCCCAATAGAAACTGTGCGGCGGTGACGCACTCCTCTGCGAAGACAACTGCAGCGTCCGGGTCAAGTGGCCGCGGGTCGCGGCGCAAGGTGGGCGACGGTGTGGCGTCGTGTCGTTCGCTGCTGAGCGCCGCAATGGAGCTACGCGGTGGCAGCGTCGCGGTGTGCTGCTGCACGGAGGAAAGCGTGCTCGACGTCAACGCGGCGTGTGAGAAGCGCCGCGCCGCGGCCACGCGCTTCGCCGTCCCCTTCATGATATTCCGTTGCGCGCTCTCACCAGTCATGCTTGACGCAGGGGAAGGGGCAGCCGCGAGACCCCCAGCGGCAGCAGCTGTGGTCGTGAATCCCACAGCAACTGCGCTGCGGCGCACATCGGCGAGGAGCTGATGCAGCTTGCCGCGTTGCCGGTGGATGTCGGCCTGATCCGCCGTGCCGGCGTACAGCGCCGCGAATCGACGCAGCTCCGTCTTGAAGTTCCGCCGACACTCATCCAAGATAGACATTTTCTACGCACTTAGCTATGAGAGATCCTGTTTGCTGAGCGGTAAGAACAAATCAAACGCCCACCCCCACAGGCACACACTCTCTCCCCTCTCTATCTCTCTTTCCAAAGCTACAGAGCAAAGCGAATCAGCATTCTCAACGCTAGCAGCAGCCCCATCAGGCGGGGCAAGAGGGAAAAACAGAATTAGGGCGCCCTTACACGCCGTTTAATTTCTCGGTGCGCCTGTCTCTGCGAGTGCGGCCCCTGCACGCACCCACATACTGACCAATTAACTCCCGACCACTCCAGAGAAAGAAAAAAACCCTCACCTTTCAAAACGACACAAAAACATAAATATAAAGCAAAGCGACTTGCCGTCATTCTTGAAGAGAGGAGGAAAGGAATTCATTTGAAACGCACGGCGGCAGCCCCCTCACCACCGGAAGAATAAACCACCACAACAGGAAATATATCTGGGAAGTGGTCGTTTGCACCACATCACCGCTATTAGTGCTGCTGCGGTTGCAGCACGCAGTAGCGCCTCACCGAATCGTACATCTCTCCCCCCCCACCCCCTCGCACAAGTGGGCGTTGCCCCCCGCCACCTGCGCCTTCATCTCCACGCGGCGTCGCGAGAAGTGTGCCTTCCGCATGCGGACAACGGAGAGTTTCTTCAGTGATTATTCGCACAGCGGGAGTAGGAGGTGCACATCACCGAAGGGCTGCTGGTGGCAGTCGCCGTTGAGGGAGGCAACAATAACCTTCTTAACCGCTTCCACAGCCGCCACGCAAAGCGCGTGAAGATGTGAGAAAAACTGGCCCTCGCCAATCGCACTCACGCAGTAGTTGTGTCAGTTGACATTACACACGATATATTTCGCTTCGCCACCGACACATACACTCCCATCCTTGCTGTGGTCTGTGTATTGGTGGCTGTTCTCCGTGTTGGGCAGTGGCGACTGCCGATGACGCCGGTACAGTGTGTAGAGACAGCGATGTCTCGCGGGTATCACGACTGCAGAATGTAAGGTGTCAGCCACGCAGACGCCCTCTGGGCACCCGTTGCATTTTCACCTTTCGCTTTGCCCATGTTGCTCTCACCGCAGCGCGTTTGTCTATGCTGTTCGTCACGATGAGGCAACGGCATCCAGCAACCCGCAGCTTCGAGACACGGCGGGGTAGGTGTGATCGTCTCCCCCACGCAGGCATGGGGCCAGTGATGAACTCCAAGGCCCCCCCTCCCAGATGCCCATTTTCATCACAGCAGCAGCCGCAACGGCTTTCAACCTCCATGATACACAAAAATAAGGACTGCGCTGGGAGACAGCGAATCTCAGAAAGACGCCCGCCCGCTCGGTCCACAGTTATGTTGTCGCCACACGGCTTGGCATCACTTGTCGTCATTCTGTTACAGGCGAAACGGAAGCACAAAGGGAGCACATAAACAAGCACACTCACATGCCCCTCTCTCATATATATATATATATATATATACATTGAGAGAGGGAGATTATGCACATATACATGAATGGGCATTGATAATTACAACAAACGGCGGTTCATATACGCCATTCTCTAAACACCCACCTTCATATCTGACGATACACAGCATGCCCCCATTGGTGAAACCACCATGTGTTACAAAACCTTCTCCTGGGTTTTCGCTTTTCTTCACTTTTTCTGCGCCCAATCCCCCCACCCCCCGCTCCACACATCCAGCGGCGCAACTGCCGTCATGTGTCTTTACAGAATTGCATACGTCACACACGCACCCATCCATACCCTTTTCCTTTGCATTATGTAACGTCCTGTGAGTATCTGTGTCCGCCCATGAGTATCTGTATGGGCACCATTCCCCCATTCTTCTTTCACTTCCGCAGGAGTGAGCGCACACCAAGGTGCTTCAGCACAAAAGCCTGCTGAATCGCCATTTCGCGCCAGTACTTGTAGCGGTCGCTCGCTGAGAAGTGCCCGCTATCGAGGTCCATCTTTAGCAGCACTTCGTTGCTGTCCGTCTTGAGGGCGCGAAGCTTGGAAGCCCACTTCGCCGGCTCCCAGTACGCCACACGCGGGTCGTGCAGGCCCGCCTGAATCATCAGGTGCGGGTAGTCCTGCGCTCGCACATTGTCCATTGGGCTGTAGCTGTTCATGTAATCAAAGAACTTGTACTCGTTGGGGTTGCCCCACTCCTCCCACTCACCAGTGGTGAGCGGAATGCTCGGGTCGCACATTGTCGTCATGACGTCCACGAACGGCACACCCGCGAGCGCGACGCGGAAAAGATCAGGCCGCATGTTCAGCACCGCGCCGATCAGCAGCCCGCCCGCACTGCGTCCCTCGCACGCCAGCTGCTGCGGCGTCGTAAGGCCGGACTGGATGAGGTACTCTGCGCTCGCAATGAAGTCAGAGAAGGTGTTGCGCTTCGTCAGGTACTTTGCACCCACCTCATACCACGCCCGGCCCATCTCTCCACCGCCGCGGATGTGTGCAATGACATAAATCATGCCACGGTCCACGTATGGCAGGTACTTGATGCTGAACCCAGGCTCCACGCAGAGACCGTACGAGCCGTAGCCGTACAGCAGCGTCGGCTGCGGCTTGCTGAGGTCAAGGCTCGCGTCGCGCACAATTGACAGCGGAATCTTCGTGCCGTCCGGCGCCGTGGCGAAGCGGCGCTCACAGATGTAGCGCTTCGAGCTGAAGCCGCCACCCACCTCACGCACCTTAACCGTCGTACGGCTTCCGTCCGCGACGTTGAGGTCGAACCACGTCGTGGGTGTCGTCATGGATGAGTAGGAGATGCGCACTGTGTCTGTCTTGTACATCTGCATATGCGAGAATTCAGGCGTGGCGGCAAAGACAGGCTCGTCAAANGGAGATGCGCACTGTGTCTGTCTTGTACATCTGCATATGCGAGAATTCAGGCGTGGCGGCAAAGACAGGCTCGTCAAAGGCCACTTCCTGCAGAGCGGCGGCGGCGAAGGTGCCATCGGGGCCCAGCGGCATCGTCCAGATGCGCGTCAGCCCTGCGCGGCGGCCAGCGAACACGGCAAACTTCTCAAACACGGCGATGCCCTCAATGAAGACATCCTCGCTGTGCGGCACCAGCACCCGGTTCCACTCCGCCGGCGCATTCCGCGTGGCAAGCAGCACCTTCCCATTCATGCAATTGTCCTTGTTCGTCAAAATCATCAGCGTGTCTGTGCCATGAAGCTCCACGTCATAGCGCACGCCCTTCTCGCGTGGCCGCACCGTCTCAAGCGTGGTGTGGCTGCTGCCCTTGCGCAGGTCGAGCATATGTATCTCTGTCGTCTCCGATGACGCGGAACCAATAAGCAGCGTATTGCCGTCGCCGGACTTCGATGCGAAGGCGGAGAAGAGCGGGTCGTCCTCAGTGTACAGGCAGACATCCGCCGACTGCGGTTGGCCCATGATGTGGCACCACACCTTGTTGTCGCGCTGCGCCGCGTCCTTCGTGGTGTAGAAGAAGCACGTCGCGTTGGGTCCCCACACAATGTCGCCGTTCGTGCCCTCCACCACATCCGCCGCCGCGTCCCGCACGAAGCGGATGCTGTACACCTCGTTGCCGCTGTAGTCGACGGAGTACGCCACCAGAGCGTGGTCAGG